CTATCCTGTCCCCTCTCAGACTTCTCTTTTCCAAACTGAACAAACCCAATTAGCTGGAGGCAGTAGAGGGGCCTCCAGTGTTCCCTGTAGAATTTTGCTTGCCTTTGTAGCTGCTATACCCCAGGTAGAATCACTTAAGTGCTCAGTCCCTCTTCCTTCCCCGTCTCCTTGTGAGGCTCTGGCGGCAAAAACTAAAATCTATAATGGGCATTACATTAGGAAAATATGTCCACCTCTCAGAACTCTTATTTTTTTGCCTGACACTGCTGCATGTGCAAGACTTCCCCAAACATGCTGCTCTGCGTTTCTTTCAGGATGGCTCAATTTCTCCCATGGTGGTATAGTAGCGTAAAGTATGAATCATGTGATTCAGAGGCCATCCCAGTAAATAGGATCTGATTTGTGAAAGAAATAGGGCTCAAATTCCAATAGCTCTGTGACTATATAACATTCCGCTGCCCAAGTCGCTTACCCACCTATCTCTTTTCAATCCCTTTCTTCTCCCTTTTAGTAAAATCAGTGTTTGTATTGACAGTGAAACAAGAGAGGTTGCGAGAGAACAATCTGAAGAGAGAGCCCGCTAGTGCTTCTATGCATGCTATCTTTATAACACTTCCTGCGAGCTCATGTAAAGAGACAAGCAGAAACAGAATCATAGGCCCTACTGTGAGTGAGTGAGTGAGTGAGTGAGTGAGTGAGTGAGTGAGTGAGTGAGTGTTTGGACACACACACACAAATTCACAGTACTTGCTGTAGAACAGAAATTTGCTCCAATATTCTGGTTCTCCACTGTTTTGTAGGGAGCTATAGGCAGGTTACTGCTGCCTGCTCCAAAGCTGGCTGTTTTATTGCTGCAATTTGTGAAGTTCTTTGAGCTTCTTTTGGCTGAAATTCAGGTCCGTGCTGTAGTCTTCAACAGTACTTACAGATCTTGTGCTGAGTCTCTGCACAGGAGAGAATGTTCCCACTTGGTGATGAAACCACTACGTAAAATATTATCTTTTATTATTCTAATTCGTCACTTTTATTTTCTTTACCAATTAAAGCAAAGCTACTAATTCATAGTGAACAATCTATTCAATCCATCACTTAGCCTCTTTCTTCTGCCCACAACCACCTTATGATTTTCTCAGATTAATTCGTTATTCCAAATTATTCACCAAATAGTTTTTGTGGATAATATTTTGTCAGTAGATGATATATAAGCTGTACATAATGAAAGCGGCATTGTTTACTTTGGAATGGGCACATAAATATACCTGCCGTTGATTCTGCACCCTGGCAGAATCAGGGCCCCCGTGAAATTTCTGTTGTTTACAAGATCAAAATTCACTTCCCGTAAGTTGCTGTTTCCACAAACATTCCTGCCAGTAAACTTCTTCACAATAATAGTTGCAGGAATGTACATGAAAGGTGAGAGAAGTCAGACTAAACTAAGCAAACTGCCCTTTTTTTTATTTGAGTGACTATTGACAAGTTGTATTTGTTTCCCTATACCACCATGTTTTAACACACACATTTCACCACCATGCTGCAATCAAATGTGATCATTTTGTCACCAAAGGCTGCGAGATCATCAGTGCAGATGTTAATCTGTGGTTTCATTTGACCTCACCAAGAGAGGCCTATCTACAGGCTATCTAGTTGTTAATGCCTGGATATGTCTGTTGGTAAAATGTATTTTATGTTGGAATCCTACATCTGAGCCCACTGAAATCTGGCAAGGACACTAGTAATTTTCCAGTAAAAACCCCCAACTTATTGGAGTTAACATATGCTTTCAATTTTTAAGATATTTAATAATGTTTTCGTCTCTAATTAGGGAAAATATCTGTTTTTTGGCTGTTTCACTCTCTTGGGAGCTGGGAGTTTGGTTTTGCCAATTGCCAAGTCATTAAAAAGTTCCATTCTCTGTGGTAAGTCTTCTTTTCAAGTTCTGAATGAATTTGGATACAACTCTAAGTAGCAACTGATTTCCTGGAGAACACTAACATACATCAAACCCTATAATATACATGAGAAATTTTAAATTAAAAACTGCCTCCTCTAGCCCTCTTTCTACTGTAGTAGGCAAAATACTTAATACACGGGTGGTTATTTACCAATAAATAGTTATATCTACCCATATTGTTTAAATACATATTTTTCCATGTAGTGCTGAGGGTCAAATTAGGATTCATTCACTTATTTATTTGCTAATCAGTGACTAGCATCCCAAACTAGGTGGGTTTTGGGGGGCTTTTTTAACAAAACATACAAAAGTAAAATTACACTACATTGGATGCATTTTGAATCAGCTGAGATAGTAAACCATGGAAATTGGGAATTACAATGGAAAATCAATTTATTTTTACTAATAACAGCCCTGCTGGCGCTGATAAAATAAAATTCCATGAGAAACAGAAAGATCAGGACTCTAGTTCTAGTACGCTGTAAGTTGGTTTCAAGGAATTTCACTCATGGACTTGCATTGTCTAGCCTGGCTTTGTAAGAGTAAACTCAACAGTGCATTCTTTCCCCGCAGGCTATTACTGTCTCTCTACGCATATACTGAAGTACTTTGGGCCAAGTCCCCAGCCAGCTAATGTAAATAGGTGTGGCTCTGTTGATTTTAATGAGCTGTATTCATTTACACCAGCTAAGGATTTGGCCCTGTAACTAACTTTTCTTTTACTGATTTAAAAAAAAAAACCAACACAAGTAACTTGAAGATCTCTTTGGAAGGGAAAACTTTTTTTCTGACAAAACTTATACATACTTACAGGGTCAGATTCTCAGCTCCGCTATTCCAATTTACTCCAGCTGGGGATTTTTCAGTAGACACACATACCACATCTGTGCTGGTCACAACCATGCAATATGCTGCAGGACTCTATGACAAATGCATTTATCAGACACCTCGGATCTCCCCCTCAATCTTCCCCCGATCTAACTCTGCCTGAGTGTGAATCGCTCTTGAAGAGCAACCATTTGATTTACTTATTTCTAAAAACTAACTTGCCTTTTTAACTAGGGTGGTTAATGTAGGCAACCGAAGTTGCAAATGAAGCCTGGGATTTGAATTTCCCAGGCTTCATTTGCATATTGCCGGGCGCCGCCATTTTTAAATGTCCACTAGTTCGGACTCCGTGCCCGCGGCTACACGAAGCATGGACTAGGTAGTTCGGATTGGGTTTCCTATTCCGAACTACCGTTACACCTCCTAGCGGACATTTAAAAATGGCGGCGCCCGGCAATATGCAAATGAAGCCTGGGAAATTCAAATCCCAGGCTTCATTTGCAACTTCGGTTGCCTACATTAACCACCCTAGTTTGAACTAGGGTGGTAATGTAGACATACCCTAACTGTTCAGCATCTATGAACATCATGCTCAAAGTATCTCTAATTGGGCACCCAAGCCTGAGACATGAAAAAATCAGAGGCCAGTTTTGAAATCCTGGCCTTTAACTTTCCTGTGCCTTATTTCACTGGGTGGGAAGGCTGGGGTTATTCAGAGACTCAGTTCATTAAGGTTTGCAAAGTGCGTTGGGATCTTTGCACAGAAGGCGCTATAGCAGGGCAAGTATTATTTATTATTCCCAGCAGCTGTGGAATGTGTAAAGACATCTAGGCATTTGCGAGGAGGTTCTGTCACAAGAAAATCCAAAACGTTTGTTATGAAAGGAATAAATACCGACCCCTGGAATGGTTCTTTGAGGGCATGGTGATTGCAGGGATGAGACAAAGTCCCCCTTACCCTGGAAACACCCTCTCACATTTAGAACTCTGCAACATTTTCATTACAAAACCCCAAACTGTGTGAAACTTGCCCACCTCGTGGCTATGCAAATACAACTCATGCCAGTCTCTCTGTGAATCAGTTGAATGACCTTTGATGCCATTTGTGGCTTCCCATCACAGTGGGCTTAGTGAAATCCCTCGTTTCGCAGTTTCCACGTGACACTAGGAGAATCAACCCACTTTCACTTTGAGTCTGGTGGTAGCATCCAACATTCAGAGTGAAACTCAGTTGGAATAAATAGATTTACTCCAGGATGATTTTAGGGCGAGGTGTCTTAGCCAAAATGGACTGAAACCAAATCCCTATGACTCAAAACCGCCACGTTTCCTACAGCTCTGTTCATACCTGCCACATGTGGCTTGTATTCTTTTTCCTTGGGCACTAGTTCTGAACTGAACAGCTCCCTAAAGAGACAGCCCCAGTAGAGGGCACTCCTTCCCATCAACTTCTTCCCAAGTGATACATTCCAATCCTAGCCTATGAAGCCAAAGTTAATGATCATAGAATCATAGAGCACTAGAACTAGAAGGGCCTGGTGAGCTCATTGAGTCCAGTCCTCTGCCCTCACGGCAGGACCAAACACCATCTAGACCATCCCAGACAGGTGTCTGTCCAACCTGCTCTTAAATATGTCCAGTGATGGAGAGTCCACAACCTCCCTAGGAAATTTATTCCAGTGTTTCACCATCCTGACAGTTCGGAAGTTTTTCCTAATGTCTAACCTCAACTTCCTTGCCTGCAATTTAAGCCCATTGCTTCTTGTTCTGTCATCAGAGGTCAAGAACAACTATTTTTCTCCCTCCTCTTTGTAACACCGTTTGTGCAGTTGCTGTTGGGTGGGGCTCTGTCCCTGTCCGGTGGGGACTCAGCACTAGACGTGGCTTTTTCTGGTGAAAAAGGAATAGGAGGAGACTGAGCATGCAAGAGGACAGCTATGAGGGTGGGGGCAGAAACAGGGTGGCGCCTCCTGACAGAATGACCGAGGTGGGGATGGTCTGACAAAGGCGGGGACAGGCCCACAGAGGCCTCTTGATACAGGTGGGGTTGGGCCTGAGCAGGCAAGCATGGGCATGTCTTGTGTTCTGAGAATGCCTCGGTGATCCCCTTAATTAGACATGCAGATTTGTATAAGGAACAGTGGAAGGCGTGAATATGCTTTTGATGAAACAGATAAAATATTGCTGCATTAAGATTGTGCAACATGTCTGTTTCTTCCAGGAAGACCCATTGGTGCCAAACTGGAACCCACGGAAGCTTTTGTGTCCCGAATACTTGCTGTCCCATCCATTGGCCCGGAGGTCCCAGAGTCCGGTTCAAGATGCAGACATTCCACGTGAAGTTCCAAGGTCTGTTTCCTTGGCTGAGTTCTGTAGATGTTTCTGAGAACTTGTGTACTGCGGTGTACTTTTTGAGCCTGTCATGGACAAAGAGGCTGGAGCTATTTGACCTCCAAAGAGGACTTTGTTCCAGAGTCTAGACATGGAGACAGTTAGCTTGCCCATAGACAAGTGCAGATGCTCCTTGTTCCACACCCTCCTTTTGCCACCTTCACTTTTACTCCACTCCATGCGTGAAAGAGTTTTGTAATCAGTAAGCACCACCCTCTTTCTGTTTCAGATTCCTTCTTAAAGTCCTCTTACTCTGTGAATATTCATGACTTTGATTTCAGTCATGTCTCTGTGCCTATATGTAGGGACAAGTGTGATCATGTAGATCAGTGTTTCCCAACCAGGGTTCCGCGGAACCCTGGGGTTCCGCAGACGATTGTCAGGGGTTCCACGAGAAATCGTGGAATAAATAAATAATTTTTTTTCTTACAATGTAAGCTGACATATATATATATATATATATAAACAGCTCTCTACAAATACATTTTCTTGACAATAATTTAGCAATAATTCAGTTGCGCTGCCTACTGTCAACTTTTTCTGGCCAAGCAAACGTTTTCATAGGTAGGGGTTCCTTAGGATATGAAAAATTATTTTAGGGGTTCCTCCATGGGAAAAAGGTTGGGAATCACTGGTCTAGACATAGCCCATCTGCCCAGGAAATCAGTATCGCTGATGTAGACTGAAAAATGTAGATTCTATTCCCAGTTGTGTAAGCATCCTTCTGAGCAACGCACTTAACCTCTCCGTGTCAGTTACTTCATCTATAGAATGGGGGTGAGAATAGTCATTGTGAATGGTGTTTTGGAGCTTATTTCAGCCATGTTTGTAAAGCACTGTAGAAGTGCCACTGAAATTTAAGTTGGAGTAGAAGATCCACAGGGATAGAACCTTGTCTTCTGTGCACTTTGAAAAGTGACACACTCGTGTATAAGTGATGTATACAGAATAATAATAGTAAAGATCTAGTCCTGCATTTTAAAAAGTGACTACAGGTTGACCTTCTCTAGTCCGGCACCCTCAGGACCTGACCAGTGCCAAACCAGAGAATTTGCCAAACCACGGGAGATCAATATTGTCTGTTAGCATTACCAACACTTCCACTGCTTGCTGGGCTGTTAAAAGACATGTAGGGGTCAACTAGAGCTAAATAACAGCACAGAACACTGAGAGCCAGCACTGGTGGCTGTAAACAAACTTTATGGAACCACGGGAAACTTGGCCACACCCATGATAAGTGGACATTTGGCTAACTGAAATCATGCCAGACCATGAATGTTGCTTGACCAGAGTGCTGGACTAGAGAGGTTCAACCGGTTGTGATTGTCAGTGATTCTGTTTTGGGAGCCCAGCTGTACACATTGGGAAGGAGCTGGATTGTCAAAAAGTTCTGAGCACCTGCCTCCTGAAAATTAGGCCACAGTAAGGCTTCTCACCCCAAGTTAACAGCCATGTTTGAAAATCTTGACTCTATTCAGAACACACCATTATTCCAAGAACAGAATGGACAGAGTTATCCAAGTGTGAGTGATCCTACAACAGGGAAATCAAAGCAGCTGGGTGTGGCTCCTACCAGAAGTTGGTATATTTCATTGAAGAGAGTAAGGAGAGGGTGACTTTGACAAGGGCAAGGAAATCAGTTGGTGTGATTAGTGCATCTGGTTAGTTCTTTGCATGCCACGGGTGGTCTTCAGGTAGCAAGGCTGAGAATCCGTATTGATGTGATGAACTGAGACGCCAGGGCTGTGATCCAACAAGAGCTGCTCCCTGAGGCTAATTGGACAATGTGCACATTCCTGATGGCCTGCACTCAGTCTCTCACATAAACAGTCACTAGACACTTTGCTGCCGTGGGCAACATCCAGTTCTCACTGCAAAGTAGACAGCCCTGCTGAGCAGATAGCAGAATCAAGCGTCTTCACTTTAACATCAGGTGTTTCTAAGAGCTTTAGTGAAAAATTAAACAACACACAACTGTTTATAAAAGAAACTCCCTCAAGGAGTAGTTTGGCATCCTCTGGATGACTACAGGTGCCTTATACTTAGAGCCATTTTCAGAAATGATCCATGGATATCCACATCTATGGATGCTGATACCTGCGGATATAGAGTGTCTATCTGCACATTGGCAGGATTCTAAATACAAAATTTGTATCCACATCTGTATCTGCAAAAATGAGCATCCACACCCGCAGATGTGGATACCCACGGATATAAAGTGGATCTCTGTGGATTGGCAGGGCTCTGCTTATACGGCCTAAAACAACTATGGTATGGTTAGGGAGCTTAAGCATTATTTCTCTCATAGCATCCAACCTGCAAAAGTCAGATTTCATTTTTAAACATTTTGTTGATAGCGGGATATACCGTTGCATGGCTGTAATCTCAGAAAAACTTAGACAATGACATTAAAACTACTCAGTGGAAGAGAGATACAAGGCCGCAAAACAGTTCTCTCTTCCTAGTTCTGTCAAGAATTACAAGCTCATCTTTTAAGCATCCACTGATGTCTCTTTGAGGCCAGGGTGCTCCAGTGAGCTAAATATGAATCCTCTAATGGGTTTACTGTCACGTTCACCCACTATCCCATTTCTTCCTTCATGCTTCTCTTCAGTAAGGCTTAGTGGAGACAGTCGTAAGAGTGCGGGAACGTTCCATCTGCGCGTTTCCACTAATCCGTCCCACACAAAGTCACTAAGTTTGCCTGCATTAATACAGGGTTCCATAGCATACAGTGAGTTGGTGTGTGCAAAGATGGAATGTTCATATTTGGCCATCTGCTTCACAGTGTGAATGTTCAATTGTAGCTTGTTTTTCCAAATGTTTCATGCAAAGCTTTGGAAGGACTTTTTGATGGCCTGCCAGGTGGACACAGCCACATCCTCAGTGTCTCCTCCAAAGCAATTAGAAAGGTAATGAGCAGGTGAGAATTTTCCACTCTGATTCAGACGTTGTCTGCATTAAAGAAATCCACACTGGTGTACCCATAATTAATGGAGGGAATGTAATCAAATATAGTTGCACTACTATAGTTACAGCCGCAAACCTCTCTAATGTAGACAAGCTGCACTGGTGCAAAACATGGTGTAAACTGGCAAGACACCAAAGTAAACTGCACTGGGTAAACCTGGTTTTGTGCCAGGTTGGCATGTCTACATTAGATGTTTTCACTGGAGCAGTGACAGCAATACAGTTACATTGTTGTGGATTTCCTTAGAGTAGGCAGGGCTTTAATAATCATAATGCTTAAAACCAAAGGCAAGCTGAGTACTTTCTCAGTTCATTTTTGTTCTGCACTAGCGTAGTTTGCAAAAGTTAACAAGATAATCATGACAAGGAGTCACATTTTAATCTTTGGCTCTTCTCTTGCTTAGGATGACTCCTTGGTTTGTGTCATGGAAACTGCTTTAGTGAATGACTAAAACCTGATCAGCATGGGACAGGCCCTAGGTTTTTTGACAAGTGTCCAAGTGATGCTCCCAAATGGCTGTTGCTTACATCAATTTATTCACTAGTAAACTGAGCATAATATGTTAAAGTAAATATAAACTTGAAAAATACAGAGACAGAGTGTGGATCAAGAGAAAAATACCTATAATCTGCCTTCCATTGAAATTAGTGGAAATCTTCTCATCTTCAGTCCAATTTGGACCAGGTCCTCACTGTGTAAATGTAACATAAAAGGTAAAACCAGCAGTAAATACAATGGGAGATATTACAATGTAATACAATGGGAGTGTGATGCTGTTGCAAAAAAAGCAAATATGATTCTAGGTTGTATCAACAGGTATGTTGTAAGCAAAACTCGTGAAGTCATTCTGCCACTCTACTCTGCGCTAGTTAGGCCTCAGCTGGAGTACTGTGTCCAGTTCTGGGCGCCACATTTCAAGAAAGATGTGGAGAAATTGGAAAGGGTACAGAGAAGAGCGACAAGAATGATTAAAGGTTTAGAGAACATGACCTATGAAGCCAGGCTTCATGAACTGGGCTTGTTTAGTTTGGAAAAAAGAAGATTAAGGGGGGACATGATAGCGGTTTTCAAATATCTAAAAGGGTGTCACAAGGAGGAAGGAGAAACTTTGTTCCTCTTGGTTTCTGAGGACAGGACAGGGAGTAATGGGCTTAAAGTGCAGCAGGGGAGGTTTAGATTGGACATTAGGAAAAAATTCCTAACTGTCAGGGTGGTCAAATATTGGAATAAATTGCCAAGGGAGGTGGTGGAATCTCCCTCTCTGGAGATATTTAAGAACAGGTTGGATAGACATCTGTCAGGGATGGTGTAGACGGAGCTTGGTCCTGCCTTGAGGGCGGGGGGCTGGACTCGATGACCTCTTGAGGTCCCTTCCAGTCCTATTATTCTATGATTCTATGATTCTATACAACAAAAGCAACCTAAAAGAAACATCCAAGACCAGACTTCGGATGGTTGCAAAGCTGTCATTGTGCTCTGGTTTGATATCCAATAATACTTTACTCTTTTATAGCATATTTAATTTGAACATCATAAAGCATAGTGTGAACATTAATTAGTTAAGCCCCACAACACTTCATAGTTATTAGTACCCTTATTGTATAAGTGTTAAAAGTCCGTCAAAGAGGTTATGTACCCGAAGTTAAAGAACTCAGTGACAGAATACGAAATACAATCAAGAATCTTGACTTTGAGTCCTCAGCTGTACCTACTGAAAGTTTTTGCCTCTCATGAGAGATTGACCTTATTTTAACTTACGTTTTTTCTAGTTTTTACAATTTTTTCAAGACCGTCCCCCATGAATAATTTACATTTTAAACTATTTCATATTAATTTAAAACTATCTATGCATTGAATTAGCATCCATATTCAATTCATTTTGTGTTTGTTTTCAAATTGAGAATCTTGAGCTAGAAAATGTTGTATAAACATTCAAAGTAAAATTTTCAAGAGCACCTAAAAGTGACTTATAAGCCTAAATCCCATT